AAAAAAATCCCCAAAAGCATTTTCACAAAAATCGAAGATTCGATTTCAATCGAGAGGAGAGAAGAATCTCGAGCTTCGGCTATGGCGACTGGGGCAGCTGGAGATGGATTAATCTGGGGGATGTTCGAAGGCTGCATTTCCGGCGGAGATATGGGCATCCAGCGCCGCCCCTACCACAAAAACTGCACCTGCGCACTCCACAACTCCGGCGCCCACTGCTCCCACACCTCCCGCCACAAAAACATCTCCTACCCCATCCGCCGCTCCTGGAGCGAAGGATCTCTCGCCCTGATCGGAAACTCCTCGCCGTCACCCTCCTCCTCCCCTGCTACGGCGGCGGCGGGAGGGTTGAAGAGGACGCCGACGCAGTTGGTGCTGTGCAAGGAGGAGGAGGACGGATCTTCACTTAATTAGGTCGGATTTTTTTAATTTTAATTTTTTTTTTTTAAATAATTGAATTTTTAGGAAATAAGTTATCGATGTTTCTGGTTACTAATTAATTGTTGTAAAAAGTAATTAGTCGGTAAATCTAAGGGCCTGTTTGTTTGATTTTTATTTTTTATTTCCTTGAAATACAATGCATGGTGTTGTCATCTGTATTCAGTGACTGTTAGATCTATACAATTTGCATGTTTGTGTTTTGCATATGCAGATCACGTGATCGGTTCTCCGATGAATGGTATTTCGAGTTTTTCGGTTCGGTAAAATCGAATATATATATATATATATATTTTATAAAGTGTAATATAAATATACTTTAATAGATTACTTCTTGAATTTGACATTAAAATATCAATTGAGGCTAATTAATAAATAACGGAAGAAAAAAATTATTGATCCGAAAGTATTTTATAATTTGTTAGAACTTTAAAGAATTTAAAATAAAAGAAAAAAAATACATATTTATTAAATATTTTAGTATTCGGTGCGGTATACGGAGCATCAATACTGTATATCGTACCGAATATTGGAATTCTAAAAAAATATTCAGAGAACACCAAATTGAATTTTGATTCAGTATTTGACAAGTATCGAATTTTCAGTTCGATCGATCTATCAACTGCGTGACAAGTCATGATTTTATTTTCGCTAGTCGACATAAGTGAGTCAACATGGGAAGAAAGAGCATGCGTGTAGTAAACATATCGTATACAAAAAACAAATTATGCCCCATAGAAAGCAAAAGTGCCAAAAATCGACAATAATTTAAGGTAATTACAAATTTACTCATATTCAAATATTTGAACAGACACTGACATATACTGTGCTAATTTTTAAAAAATAAATAATAGTAATAATTGTACAGACACTGACATCAACAATTTATTAATCTTTATAATTCATAATACAAAATCATCAACAATTTATTATTATTTATTTAATAAAGCAAATCTAACCCAATACTTATTGGACCCAATTTCAATATTAAATGGACCCAATTTTCGGCCCAACTGATTCTTACAACTTGATGCAAAACCGAAAAATTAATCTCCAAGACTCCAACAACACAAAATCCAGAATCCACCAGAAAACACATAAAATTCTAATAATTCATTAAAATTCGAAATTAATTGTGAAAATAAAGTCCTACTACTATTTATACTAATACAGTAAAAATTCTAATTAAATTCATCTGTTCATTATTTTCAATTTTTACAGATTGCGGTTTCAATTGGTTCGAACATCCATCAAATTCCTCTGCTTCAAGAAACTCAAATAAAATTAATTTGATAATTAAGCTTTCCTTTTTTTTTTTTTTTTTTTTTTTATCGAAAGATGTAAATTTGAACAATGATCTCGACATATGTAATAAATATAACATGATTTCGATTATATTGCATGTTGTCAAAATTAATATATACATGTAACAAAAGATCGATAAAATCGATTTATATATACATCGATTTATATAAGTTTCTTACACGAAAAACGAAATTAATATTACCAAAAAAAGATAGGCTACGATACAATTTCTCCTTCTTCGTAATCGTCATCCATAGGTAGTACCGCATCGACTCGATCCGGATCACGTTCGATATAATCAAAATCATCGGGCTTGATGAACAATCCAAGCCGCTTCAAGGGGCTAACGCCGTCCCATCGCCGCCCGCATCCCCACGTCGCGAGCTGCTCCATGACATCTCGATTCTGATCGTTGAACTCGACGGTCTTCTTCATGTTTTCACGAGCAACTCTTTCTCTCTCCCGCCTCTTGCTTCGTTCCTCGAGTTCTTGCGCATCCATCTTGATTCGTTTCTCCACTAGTCGCGCGTCCTGGGATTTTTCTCCATGCAACTTTTGCGCGGCTCTGAGTATAGTATCCGCGAATCGACTCCTAAGCATGTCGGCCCTCAAGCGCTGCTCCGCCGACATTATTTCCACTTCACCGTTCGCCGCCGCCGGAGTAGTCACGGTCGGCTTGATCATCATCTTCTTCTTCTTCTCCGTCGCGGGGCCATGATCGGAATATTCCTCTCGTCGGATTGTAGAAATCGTCGAAACGAACAATGTCTTAGACGATTTCTTCTTCGTGATCGAAGATTTCAGCTTTGAAATCAACCTCGTCGAAACTCCGTTACGATTATTCATCGTCATTCGATTCTCACCAAAAAAAAAATCCTTCAAATTTTTGCGCAATTGTTTCTTCTCTAACTCTAACTCTCTGTAATTAATAATCTGCTTTTCTCGATCTCTCAACATATAAGGTAATATTCAGATACGATGTATTTATATTTCTCAATATATAAGGTAATATTCAGATACGATGTATTTATATTTTCTTGATAGGGCGTTCAGCTTATTTGATAAGCACAGTATCTTATTACTAAGATTTTGTTTCCTTTAATATAAGCATATAATTAAGCTAGTTACATTAATGGATCTCTTAATTTATGTGGCTTTGGAATATAGTTTCAAAATTTGGTCAAAATTAATGAATTAATTTCGATTTAAAATAAAATAATAAGAATTAGAGTTGGCAGTTTGGAATAAATCGGTTGGGCCATAATAACTTTTAAAAAATGACGTGGATCCACTTTTATATTAAAAGCCCAACAAAAAAATTTTATGAAGTCAACCCAATTAAACATCCCAACAAATCTGTCAAAAATCAAAATTCAAAATTAAATATGAATTTTTAATTCCCAAATTCCCCAAATCGTCCAGCCTCAACTCATCGCCACTTGTCATACTCCACCTCCGCCGTCGCTCACCGCCGCTGCTCGCCGCCATTCGTCGCCGTCGCTGTTTGCAGCGCTCATTCAACACGACAGGTCTCTCTCTCTCTCTGATTCTCTCACCGCCGGAGCTCCGGCGCCTCTCTCTCTCTCTCTGATTCTGTCACCGCCGGAGCTCCGGCGCAACAACCGATTCAGAGAGACAAAACATCAAAAAACCGCAGCGGTGGATGTGAGAAGAAGCTGGTGTTTAATTTAATCTGTGGACCACTAAATCATCAAAACAGAGATAAGCATAATCTGACATTGCTCTTGTTTCTATCTCACATTTGACCTAATTAGGAGAAATATATGGTAATTAATTCGTAATTACACGCAGTAAGAGAAACCAACCTTTTTGTGGCCTTAAAATCTGGTAAAAAAAAATAAAAAAATCAGACCACCTTTTCGACAGCTGAGTTTGTACTAGAATCTACCTTAACCTCGTTGGTACAATCCCTACTCCTAGTTGAAGAATCATGAATTTTAGAAGATAGAGAAGATGATAATGAACAAGAGTAGCTTTTCCTAAATTCTCTTTTGGGAAAAGAAATACTCCTCTGTAGTGGGTTCACAAGCGAGCATTTGGCTTTCGATTTATGTAATGCACATTTGCAGTTGCGATGATAGGGCCTCCGTTCCATATCCAAATCACACATCGATAAGATTCCATCTAAGACACACTGGAGCATTATTCTCTTATCTTCTCTTTTTTCCTGTATAAGTTATCTGACGTGATTATAAGTGCGCGTGTTTGTGACAGTTGGTGTGTGTAAAAGTAATTTTTTCGGAGGGCATTTGGTTGAACTGTGTTGCATGTTTCTTGAAGGGTTTATATAGGGCAGTGACTATTTTGTATTGGATTGCGCTTTTTTATTTATTTTTTTCTCCGTAAAATTCAAGGGAGTTTGAGCCTTGAGTTAGTTAAACTATGGGAATACAGTACATGTTATCTGAGTTAGATGAAAACAATATTTCATTGGGAAAATCTGAAATCCGTGTAGCGTGGGGCCCGGAAGATATGGGTAATAAAGACACAATATTTAGAGGAAAGCTCAAGAATGAGACGATCACCTGTTTTTTTAACCTTTGTTTTGGAGTACTTCAGATTATTATGCATAGTTGATTCCAATGAAAGGAATATTTGTATATATATATATATATGTGTGCGTGTAATGCTTCTTGTTTTACTCTTCATACGACCAGGAAACTAGTCCTACGATAAATGTTTCTGTTAATTAAACTATTTTTCACTCAATTCTAAAACAAATCGATCTATCTAACTATCAAGAAAGTTAAAAAAATTCACAGTATTTGGGGAAGATATTCCAAGTGACAACTGTTTGTGTAGTACAAGAAGGTAGTCAATAATTACAAGCACAAGCAGACACAGCCATTCTGAAAGCATATATATATATGCTTGTATATAATATACTTGGCTACCTCGGGGACTTAAATAACGAACTTTCGCATCTAGAATCTTTATATTCAAGAAGTAGGCTTTGGCATTGTTATTTATGTCATTTTAGCAGCCAGATAGTCTCGTGTTTTCTATAGTTTATTACTTGTTTAATTTTATAATATCAAGAAATCAGTGCAATAGTAGTTAGAAGAATCAGGCACATTTTGTCGTATTATTTTTTGAGTTCTTTGAGGAAACATTAGTCTCATTCATAGTTTATTTGAATATCATTCTTGCGAGGATGCAAAGAATCAGCTCACAGCAAATTGAGCACCAAGGGTGAGAACAAGTTTTAAATGACTTTTGTGAAATAGTGATACATTAATATCGACTAAAGATCGTATATAGAAGAGTTGTGTATATACTTAAGCTACTGAATTTTGACAGAAAAGATCGTCAAACGGAGTAATGCGAGAGCAAGTTCCGAAATGTGTTTGAGAATAAATTTCATTAACTAATATCCTAATTTTCACTTCCTCGAGTACTACATATGTCTGAAGGAGTGCCAAAAGAACTTAAAAGCTGAGAAAAAAATACAAAGAAATTAAACAGGCTTTCTATCTGCTGAGTTTTGACATTGCACTATGCTGCAACTAGAATCTATTTTTTTCGAAATATGAAGATAAGAAGATTGAAAAGAGATATTGGAAGATGATAGGGACAAGGAACATTTGCTCTTAAATTCTCTCTTCGGGAACGAAATATTCCCATTACTATGCGAGCACGTTCCTTTAGTTTCATGCAAAGCACATTTGCAGTCACGATGATATGGCCTCCGCTCGATGTCCATGTCACCCATAGACAAGCTTCCGTCAAACACACATCGAAACATTAAATCTGCTGCTCCGGTTGCCATTCTTCTCTTCTCTTTCTTCTCTCGTTTTCTATATATCTATTGTGTTTTTTCAAGTGTGTGTGTGTGTGTGTGTGTGTGTATGACTGAGTGAGTGAGTGAGTTTGCATTTTTCATCAAGAGTTTATATACAGGTAAGGTTTATACTCGTTAGATTAGAACTATGACGATGTAGTGGTAACCTAGACTCGACGGAACAATTAGCTTCAGTGTTGTGTGTAAAGTCCTAGAGAATATTTTTTCAACTATGAAGTTATCTTGTTCTTGTCTTGGAAATCTAAACACGAGCAAGACAAAAACAAGCTGTCATCAAAGGTAAGTCAAAGGAATCAAGGAATCACAATTTCCTCTGTTTTTTGTTTAAAACTCCTGAAGAGAATCTACTCTCTTAGTTTTGTCCGGGCGAATAAGGTTACGGTACATTGGGGAATATATTAGTTCGTGTGGGGATTAAGGTTCTTGTTCTTTGTTGTGTCTTCACTTGATTTGTCACGCACGGCCCCACATATGAGATAACAAGAAATACTGCAGTACATTAGGGTCTTTTTATTTTTTAATTGTTTTTTTTCATGATGTCGAAAACATTAGCTATCCAATTTATGAATGGCGTTTGGAAAAACGGCGAATTAATTTTTTTTTAAAAATCAGAATACCGGTTCTTTTCAATGTTTATACGTACTAGTAATCAAGCAATACTTCAATATTGATTTACCGGATTATCTCTTATAGGAAGTCAGATTAGTCGAATAGAGGCATATTTTTCACACCAAGCATCACACTGTAGGATCAGTTAGTTTTGCATTGTATTTTTTGGAATTAAGATATTTGCAAAGATTAGAGAATCTTTGACTAAAGAGAACCTTGATATAAATGATATAGTTAACTAATTCATAGGTTGGACCAACAGCATAACTTTATATTTAAATAGTCTTAGTCTTTTGTTTTGTTATCACCTTTTCTGAAGAATCTTTTGTGAACATTGTACGAAAAACGAATTTGTCTGTTATCACATTGAACTGTATTGGAGTTTTTTTTAATAATTATTTTCATACTAATACCTGTTATTGCTATTAAACTGGTAACTCTGTTCTATGTAATAATCAAGTTCCGAGATGCGTTTGAGAAGAAATTTCATTAACTAATGACTAATTTACACTTCCTCGAGTCCTGCATATGCCTAGAGGAGTGACAAAAGACCTTAAACCGGGAAAAAAAAATCAGCCGAGCTTTGTATCTGCTGAGTTTTGACATTGCACCCTACTGCAACTAGAATCTATTTTTTTACAAATATGAAGATACGAAGATTGAGAAGAGATATTGGAAGATGATAGTGACAAGGAACATTTGCTTCTAAATTCTCTTTTCGGAAACGGAATATTCCCCGTACTATGCAAACATCTGCCTTTAATTTCGTGCAATGCACATTTGCAGTCACGATGATATGGCCTCCGCTCGATGTCCATTTCACCCATAGACAAGCTTCCATCAAGTACACCCCGAAACGTTAAATCTGCTGCCATTCTTCTTTTCTCTTTCTTCTCTGTTTTTCTATATATCTTATATGAATTTTCGAGTTTGTCTGTGTGTGAGAGAGAGAGAGAGAGATAGAGAGAGAAAGAGAGAGAGTGAGTGAGTTTTAATTTTTGGTTAAAGAGTTTATATAGAGGTAAAGGTTTATACTCGGTTGATCACAACTATGACGATGTAGTGGTAACCTAGATTCTACAGAGAACAATTAGTTCCGGTATTTGTGTGTATAATCCTAGAGAAGAACTACAGAGTTGTCTTATTCTGTCTTAGAAATCTAAATGCGAGCACGACAAGAAATAGTCAACACCGTTAATTCCTCTGTTTTTTTTTTATTAGACTCCTTAAGAGAATCTATACTCCCTTAGTTTAATCCGGGCGAACGGGATTATTTTATTGGTCTGTTGCCCAACATTGGGGAATATAGTTAGTTTTATGAAACTAAGGTTCTTGTTCTTTTCCCTGTCTTAACTTGATTCTTATGCACTGCCCCCACAAAATTAGACAACAAGAAATACTGAACTATGTTTGGTTTATACATCTCTCTAATTATGACATCAGCAATTTTTTTATGCTCGGTGAATTCCGAATTAAGTAGCATTTCTCTTTTTCGTCGGGTTAGATTCTTCCCCTCGATCAATATGTACTAAGAGATTTTTTGTCTGATCTTCAATTTATGTTCCGGTTTTAACTTCAATATTGACTTGTCTGCATTTATAATTCCTTACCTACATGTTACTAAGAAATGTTTCCTTTAAAATCGTATGTCAACCTCCGAGATATGTTATATTTAGGTGTATTTAAATGAAATAGCCGGTCACATAAATTTGCCTTGTACGTTGAAACTTGAGAAAATTTACCTTATATTTGAGAAGAAAAAATAACAAATGACAACTGTTTTCAGAACAAGAGTTTGTTTTTGAGTAGTACCGAAAAAAAGGTGGTTAATCAGTACAAGAACAAAGAAACAAAATCAATTACTTGTAGCATTGCTTGTATAAAATGTTGTCGAGACACCTCGGAGATTTACAATAAATATGGAATCTTTATTGATATTTATGTAATATTATAAGCAGCTCGATAATTAAGTATTTTTCGTAGTTGACTTGTTTAACTTTACAATATCAAGAAATCCATGCAATAGTCATTAGTAGAATAAAGTCCATTTTGTCGCATTATTTTTCGACTACTTTGAGGCAAGTAAGAAGTAAGAACTTTGAGTTGTATGCACGAGCATAAAATTAGCATCAGTAACGTAAAAGCAAGTTCTGAAATGTGTTGGAGAAGAAATTTCATTAACTAATTACTAATTCACACTTCCTCGAGTACTAACTATGCCTCGGGGAGCGGCAAAAAACCTTAAGAACTGAAAAAAAAAGAAACGAAAAACAAGAATCAAAGCAGCTTTTTATCTGCAGAGTTTTGACATTGCACTCTACTGCTACTAGAATCTATTTTTGCCGAAACATGAACATAGGAAATCGAGAAGAGATATTCGAAGATGATAGTGACAAGGAACATTTGCTCTTAAATTCTCTGTTCGGGAACGGAATATTCCTCTGCTTTGAGCCACTGTGCGGACATTTGCCTTTGATTTCATGCAATGCACATTTGCAGTCACGATGGTATGGCCGCCGTTCGATGTCCATGTCACACATAGACAAGCTCCCGTCAAAGACGCACCGAAACATTAAATCTGCTGCTCCAGTGGTCATTCTTCTCTTCTACTTCTTCTCTCGTTTTCTATATATCCAATATGAATTTTCAAGTTTGTGTGTATGTTAGTGAGTGAGTGAGTGAGTGAGTGAGTGAGTTTGCATTTTGGTTGAAGGGTTTATATAGAGGTAAGTTTTATACTTGGTTGATTACAACTATGATCATGTAGTGGTAACCTAGACTCTACACAGAACAGTCAAAAACATAAATTCCTTTGTGTTATTTATTTATTTATTTTTTTATTGTGTAAAAAAATAGAAAAAGAGAATCTACTCCCTCTTAGTAGAGTCCGGGGGCGAATGGGGAATATATTTCGTTATGTGGAACTGTGATTCTTGTTCTTTGTCGTGTCTTC